ATTCATGGATAGAGAAATAAGCATAAAAAATTTACAAAATTTTAAAATAAGGTAAAAACAAATCAAAATTTGATCCTTACAGCATAAAAAATACAAACTCTGAACTTTAAAAATAAAAAATTTATAGAAAATTTTAATATTATTTCAAAATTTACAAATTTTTAAAACCAAAAAAGAAAAAAACTCAAAATCACAACTATATTAAATGATGCCTTAATTAATTCATGTTTTGTAATCTAGATCCCTAAATTGAGGAAAGCCCCAATATAAGAAGGTCCCCTTCATCTCAGAATTTTTATAGCTAAGACTGTATAACAATTTTTTTAATGAAATATTAATTATCAAATATATTTTAAGTGGTGAAAAAAATAGTATTCAAACTAAAAAGTATCAGGCTGAGAACATAAAAAAAAATATTGATTAATTATAGTGAAATCATTTTTATCCATTACTAATATAAACAATGTTATGGTATAATGTTATGTAGTATTATAAATCTATAATATAATATATTATTATATAATTAATTTTTTTTAATTCAAAACTCACATGTGATATTATATATATTTATTTAATATTATATTATATTTATTTAATACTACATAAGATAGTAAATATAATATTATAAATATTATAATTTTATAATTTTAAGTAATATTATAAATTTATAATTTTATATAATATTATAAATATAATATTACCGTATAAATATTTCGGTCCTCTATATAATCCTAGGACCATGAGCACCCAAACACACATAATGGAGTTGTTTGCAGTGCAGTCATAACCAGTCCAATCCGATCCCAAGCCTTTTGGGTTGTCCTATCCAATCCCAAACAGTAGTAAATATGGAGCCCAGGAAAATTGCATTGATTGTTTGGTTTTCAATCATAGGAGTGTTTTATATTTTGGGTTGTATAGCCCATGCCACTCGATTGCAATGCACAAGTTGATACTGGAGATGGTGGTGGTGGCAGCGGAGGGGACCTTGGCTTAGTCGCTGGAGGATATGGTGGAGGGGGTTGTCGTGGAGGAGGAGGAGGAGGAGGAGGCGGTGATTGAGAGGGTTATGGTGGTGGTTGAAGTTGAATATCATGGCAATTAATGATTTGATGTATGTTTATAAATTGAAAAATGGTAAATATAACTTTTGA